CTATTCAGGTTGTAAATCGTGTTTTTAAAAAGTAACTAAGTAATTAATTACTTTTGAAAATAAGTAATCAGTAAAGTAACGGGATTACTTTTTTGGGGAGTAAAAATCAGTAACTAGTTACTGATTACTTTTTTCAAGTAACTTGACCAACACTGCTGATTACCATCATCCACCGCTCAACACACAGATGTCTTTTGGCAAAAGTGGACAAACCAGCAGCCGATGAGGCTAACATGAAGCTAATATGGTCACTGTCCACCAGCTTTATTGTTAGACGATCAGCTCAAGATCTGATTACGCCGTACGTTTGGACCTTGACTTTACAGGCTGATCATGTGTCGCTTGATAAAATGAATTGGTGCCGCGTGGACTGATTAAAAAAACTAAAAGAAAAAAAAGGGTCAGAGTTTTATTGGAATCCAACATGTTTGATCGACTTTCATTTGTTAAGCCTCACGACTGCATATTATTCCATTGAAACTAAATACCCGGTGGCTGTGTGTGTTCTGCTCCCGTTAACCTCTTTTAAATGGCTCTAAAATTAGAGGTCTCAGGTGAGGCACAATGTCATACTAGATGAGCTGATTATGGCAGGTTTAATTATAACTTTGTTGGCTAATGTGTGTGCTCTGCATGTTTTCTCAATGATAAATTATTACACCGTCTGAGAACTCAGACAAAATAGATCAAAGACCTTTCGGGCCGCGGATGTGTGGAGGAGGCAGCTGAGGACGAGTTTTGCAGTTCTGACTGTACACGGCAAACAAAATTCCTCACGGTCTTTTCTTGTTAGCTGCAAGTACAACGGATAACATCCAGCCCTTTGAATCTTAACTAACAATTGCAGGCTGAAGACTCGGAAAGAAAAAAATGGAACTGTGTTTTTGAATGTGCTAAAAAAGAAAAAAACTGTTTCTAATGGGGTCCTGTGAGCCTTGTTGCCAGAGTGATGCCATATCCCATGGTGAATGTGCTAATGGTCCATGGGAGTGAGAGGATTGAGCTTAGCCCAGCAGTGTAAACACACAGACAAAAGGGAGCCGTTAGTTCTGTGAAACGCATGCCTGGGCGCGCAGGTAGGCATTAGGTTTCACCCTACACAGCTTCAACGCTGTATCTGTGGCGGGGAGGAGGCCATTTGCTTTTGTAGCGAAAGAGAGCAAAACAAACATTCAGACTCGTACAACAGAGACAGGTATGGATGGGCCGGGGAGACAGGAATTTTGGTCTGGAGAGATGTAAGGGACGGGAGGGGGGGCTGGAGAGATAAGGTGGTTTGTGGTCAGTCACAACACAGAGAAGTGACCATTTGCTTGGTAGTGTTTGTTTGTTTGTCTGGGGAGGGGGGTCATAAAATATCACTCAAACAGAAGTAGAGCTGTGCTGAATACAAGTGAGATTCCAGTAGTGCATCCCCGGCCAAAAGTAGCTTCATTACTGCTACATTTTTACATAAAATGTGTGTTGCTGACTGTTTTGTTACATGTGCAACCTTCCTAAAAATAACCAGATGTGAAAACAACTCTTATATCTAAGAAATCCTCCTCTGAAATGGACAATAACAACAATGACAATGCAAACCAAGCTGCATTAGCTTTTTGGCTCATGCTATCCGAGCTATCATCATTAATATTTCTAGCACTAAATGTTACTGTCATTTACTTTAGCATTTCCACCACGTGGCTGCAGCGTTTTACTCCGCGCTGCAGCTCAACAGAGCTTTCACTCGGTCGGCGAGATGCTTTTGGTGCACGGCGGAGAGCGAAGGAAGATAAAGGTGCTACGTTTTAGCTCATCAAAGTGATGTCACGTGAGACAGTGGCCCAAAAAAGGGGTTTAAACAATGTTCAAAAGGCATGAATGTGTGAAACAGGAACAGAAAAATACAAGTTGACACAGTTTTGATAAGGTTAGCATCGCTAAAGGTCTTGGGAAGGTAGAAGGTGGACAGGGCGGGATCCGTCTTTTTGATCGTGGCGCTGATCCCACTCAGCCCCCCCTCGGCTTACACAAACGATTCGCCCCCACCCCTCCCTGCCGGGGAAATAGTTAGCATTGAGCTGCCATCAAGGGATTTCCCTTTGCAGGATTATTGAACTTCTGGGCTTATTTTAGTGGCGTGCACGGGGTTTGTGGCATTTCACAGTTGTCACATTTCTGCAGCGGGATGTATATGCAGCATCAAGTGCCTTGTGACATGAGTGTTACAGGATGAATTCCACTGTGAAATCACACGAGGACAGAGCTCGCACGTTGAATTATTATCACTGCTGAAGGGAATGTCTTTTTTGTCCCCTCTGCAGGTTAGAGGATCAATGATGAGCATCTCTGAGACCACTTGGCTTGGACTTTTCTAATCAGAACCTGTTAGTCACGACACAAATCTGCCACACAACATCAACACCTGGCACCATGTCTTGCTCCCTGTGGAAACTACCCACTTTCTGCTGGTTTCTCATCACTCTAGCCCAAGTACACTCCACAGAGGGTAAGTAGCTCCTCTTGCTTTCGTCAAAAACATACTGCCAGTTTGGTTTTTTTTGATAGCATCTTTTGAAAAAGTGTGTTGTTGTTTTTTTTTCAGGCTCACATAAAACCCTTATTTTTTAATGCTATTGTTTTCCACTGCATATAGCATGAGCAGTTACACTGTGACTGAAGCCAAATCTGCTCTCTGAGTGCAGCCACTGCTTGTGTAAGTAATGCAGCTTGGAGGACAGTGGGCACAGGCGGATGGGGGATAATCTTGAGTGGTTTCATTAGTTGGTAAATTGTGATTTGTCTGAGATTTTCTGCTTGAAAGCGTCAGTTGTTCCCAGTGGCATCAGAGCTGGATCCATTTTTAAATTCCTCACTAAAATGTTCTGTCTCATGGCAGGCGGGCGCGCAGATTTCACACCTCAAAAAATATAAAGCTTGAATGTGTTTTAATCATACTGCATTAAGTTTTGATTAAATCACTCTCAGCTGTATCGTAATTACAAGATTTATGCGTCCAAGCCTTATCTCATAAACTGTATCCTCTACTTATTAGTGTTTAATCGCAAGACTAGAGGTGCTTTACTTTAGACGTTTGATTATTGGATTTAAAATAAACCGAGGTTTGCATCTTTTTAGTAGAAGATGAGTCTTTACAGATTTTGCTTCACTGCTGCCAACTGTTTTAAGATCTCGCCAACTGTTCGCTATACCTGCTTTATTAAGTTTTTTAAGAAGTAATAATGTAGGATTACTCATTCAGGTTTCCAAGGTAATGATTTCTCAAGATCCTTCATTTACACTGTAGCAGGTCACACCGGCACGATGAGCTTCACCATATGGTCTTCTCATGTATCACCTGGGTTCAATTTGATCTTTCGTGTAAGAAACGTGAAACCGTACGGGAAACAGTCGGGGAAACGATTGCACTGTCTTTGCATGCACGCACATACAAATCTATATGTTTTCCTCAAATATCGGCACTTTACTAAACCCCAATTCTGAACCTCGGGCAAAGAGCAATTACGAGACTTGTGTATATGCACGTTAATCTATTTAGGAAACCCTCAGAGGTTTTCCTATCCATGTTGCATTGCCTCTGGTGTTTACCGGGTGCTCCACAAAATTCAGTCAGCAGGGTTTGCAATAAATCTTGTCGATAGACTTAATGGTTTTTTAAGATACATCTGCTGCAACAGCGCGAAGGAGTGAACTGCACGTGCTGCGTGAGTCCACTCTGGCACAAGAGACAGACATGACAATGTGTCCAGAGTCGGGGAGGAGAACGGGTTCAAAAACACATAAATAGCCCCGTTTATTAATAACATGGCATTTGTCATTCACCTTTTTCCTCTTGCTGGATCGCCTCCTCCCCGAGCCCCCCACCCACCTTCTCCTCTTTCCCATCTCAGCCCAGAAACAGTTCATTACAAACAATATCCTCAAGTAAACATGCTTCATTAAACTGCGTCTACCCCTAATATCTTTTTAATGCATTTTTATAATTGAATTAAATGGGTTAGTGCAGTGCTGTAAATAGTTTAAAGTTAGTTTTCCAGTTTTTCTTTCTTGTTGTATCTAAAGAAAGACTCATACACACAGCCAACACCGATACTGACCATCTGTCTCACTCCTTCATGAGTATCTGTGTTTCCTGGGCTCATTTCTTCCCCGTTTTTCCTCATCTCTCAAAATTGCACCTTCCTCAGCCTATTCTGCAGCATTAATTTCCCAAATTGATTTGTTACATACGTTTCAGACAGTACTGCACAAAAGCCCACACGGGCGTCGTTACCACATAGATACTCCGATCACTCACGATGATATGAGCCCAGCGCTGGTTATAGTATAGACTTACTTTTTTATTTTCCGTCTATAATTTAGCTTCACCTTTATTAAAGAGACATCAGGTGAAAATAATTTAGCATAAGAACTACTCAATCTGTTAAGACGGTTCTAAAGGAGAGCGACTGGAAAAAGTGGGAAAAGAATTAAGAAGGAAAGACTTGACAAAAATATCTTGGCCTCTGGTGAATCAATTTTGACCTTTTGAATTCCCCTTAAATTCATGGAAGTGAAATAGTGAAGTGTGGGAATGCCCTTTTAACCCTTTAAAGCCGGTCGGAGCGGCA